CTAAATGACACCGTTTTTTTATTGTTATTTAGAAATCGACAAAATACTTAATAAAAATAACAATATAATAGTAGTATGTATAGAGAACAGGTATATATAATATCTGTAGTTATGTATAGTTGCAGTAGTAGTTAATAAACTAGCTTCCAGGCGGCGCTGTTGTCGCAGCAATTTTTTACGTTACAGATTCTTATCTATTTCCGTATATACACTCTTATCTATGTAAGTCATTCAAAGAGTGTGGTCGATCGAGCAGTGCTAAGATAGTGTTGTGGTTCAGTTCGTTGTTGTAATTCTTCTATTGCAGGCAAGGAGGATTGGTGTTGCGGAGTGGCTGCCCAGTGTTACATTGAGATAAGTAGTGTTGCTGTTGGTTTACATATTTTGGTGTTATCATGTAATTACGTACCTCACGTTACACTGGTGTGTGATTGTGGCGAGGACGTGTTACGGTGTGGTCGAACTGTAATTTCACTATACTCAATGTATAGTGCGATACGTTGTCTTATTACCGATAATGATTAATTGCGTAAGCACGAGAGTAAGTTGAACATCCGCTCTCACACTTTTATTATTTTTAACAGTTAACGCTATCCTGATGTATTTCCGAGATCATAAACCGTGATCCTCTTTTGTAATTCTCCGATATCAGAAGTGGGATCTTCTGTTATAATTTCTGACATATATATATTTAATATGACATTTTATTGCAAAAGACAATAAGTAATTCATACTGATTTATTTATTTATTAAAATGTAAAATCATATATTAAGTTAAATGGTTACTATTTGCATATTAGCCTGAGATTTGTAAATTATAACTTTATTGTAATTAAAATTATGAATTAATTTAAACTGTAATGTAATTGTTAAAATAATAATAGCTTAACTAATCTCATATAATGTATAATATTAATTCTGTAACCATACTTTAATAATTTAATTAATAATTTATGACCAATTTATTATATAACAATACAAGATTTCTTTGTATTTGAGTAGATCTGCATAAGTGTTTTTTTTTTCTATAATAATTATATTTTATTACTCAGTAATTATAACAAATACAATGTTAAAAAACTATAATAAAAACCTAAAACTAATAACTTAATGATCATACATTCCTATTCCTACTACCAAGAACGCTAGCTGAGTTTCCTCTATACTTAGCCTTCGAGCGAGAAATTATTATATATTATAGATTATTATATATAATGATTATTAGAGTATTTAGTTGCACATAATATTTGAATTCAAAAATAATGTTTGTACTTAATTTATAAGTAATGGCGAAATAATTTTAAAATATAAATTCGGCTAAGTGTAATCATTGAGTTATTATGTACTACGTACCTAGCGGCGACACTGCACTAAGTTAAGCTGTCCCATTCAACTGCGGCGATATCACTGCACTTTAATAATCAAACAAATTATTCCTAAGACGCCATCACGGGTCATGGAATATCGATTATGATATTAATTTGTTCGGTTGAGACGTTTTTGTAGGTTGTGCATAATATGTGTTTTTTTTTTGTAGAAACAAATAGAAATATTGATAATTAGGCTAAATTTCTAATATTTAAATTTGCTGATTATTCTTTTATTTTATTTTTACGTTTCCACGTCCAAGCCTTGAAAACAGGGAAAGGTGGAATAAATTTGTCCATTTTTAACTCTCGCGTGCCCAGCATTTATGAACGACTCTTATTCTAATCTTAATAAATATATTTGTAAATTATGTTATACCTATCAATAACTTTTGTAACACATACATTTAGTATGTTTTTTTAAATATTTTACATAGTTACCTTTTAAAATGAGCCGTGGTAGCTCAGATGGTTAGCGCTCGCTGTAAATTTCACAGTACGCGAGCAACCAGGGTTCGATCCCCGCCGGCACCCATGAAATTGTTATTAGCAAATTTAAGTGCTGATTTACGACGTGCTCGGCGGTGAAGGAAAACATCGTGAGGAAACCTGCATGTCTGAGAAATAAGAAAAAGAAATATTTCGACATTTTAAGTTTCCCAACACGCATTGGGGCAGCGCGGCGAACATTTAATTGCCCTAAAACCCCTCTCAGAAATGAGAGGAGGCCTGTGCCCAGCAGTTTGACGTATATAGGCTGTAACTTTAACTTACTTTTTACCTTTTAAAATATTCAAATAAAAATATAATTAAAATGTAATTGTGATATAATATTATGTAATATTATATTAAATTAGCACATATTATATGCAAAATAAATGACAAACTTTAAAAGTTGTACCTGATATAATTAACATAATTTTAACAATACAATATATTATTACATACTGATCATTCTACCTACGCATAATCTATGATAAAAACCAAGCGCGCATGCGCCGCACTACTCTTCCCTGCACATGAGCGAAGACATGAGTAGCGCACATTTCTTGTTCGAAATAGCTGTTATAGTACGTAAGTACATATTATTTCAATGAGTTTAATTAGTTGAATTTAATTTAATTTTTGCATGCCAATAATGGCAAAACATGCCAGTTTCTTATCATTGACCATCTTATGTACCTTGTTTTTAAACAAAAACAAAATGTGCCGAGATTACTTAACGGTAAAGTGTGTGACTAGATTCCTTAGTCGAAGGCGTGTCTGATCTTGGTCACTATGGAAACTTTGAAACGAATGTTTCTGCACACTCCGTACCAACGGAACTGTTTGCTATTTGGTTCAAGACCAATATAATATTTTAAATTTTGAAAAATATGAGTAAGATCACGAAGGACGCCATCTGGTCTACCTCCCAGTCTACTGTCGTCCAGATACCAGACATTCAGCTTGGATTTCAAATTTGAAAATAATGGGTTGAACTCCCAAACTGAAAAGAGCTGGACCTAGTAGGTCACCCTGCTGAACACCGACAACAGAATCGATAATATATTTTCAACCGACTTCAAAAAAAGGAGGAGGTTATCAAATCGACTGTATTTTTAGGGTTTCGTAGCCAAATGGCAAAAAACGGAACCCTTAAGGATTCGTTATCTCTGTCTGTTTGTCTGTCTGTCTGTCCGTATGTCACAGCCACTTTTATCCGAAACTATAAGAACTGTGCTGTTGAAACTTGGTAAGTAGATGTATTCTGTGAACCGCATTAAGATTTTCACACAAAAATAGAAAATAAAACAATAAATTTTGGGGGTTCCCTATACTTAGAACTGAAACTCAAAACTTTTTTTTATCAAACCCATACATATGGGGTATCTATTGATAGGTCTTCAAAAATGATATTGAGGTATCTTATATCATTATTTTCTTAACTGAATAGTTTGCGCGAGAGACACTTACAAAGTGGTTAAATGTGTGTGTCCCCTCCCTCTAAAATAAGACAATGATAAAATTAAAAAAAATATATGATGTACATGACCATGTAAACTTCCACCGAAAATTCGTTTGAACGAGATCTAGTAAGTAGTTCTTTAATACGTCATAAATCGTAAATTATGTTACTTACTGCTACGGAACCCTTCATGGGCGAGTCCAACTCGCACTTGGTCGCTTTTTTTAATGTGTGTTAACTCCGAACTTTTTTCTAGGTGAATCGATTTTGATGATTCTTTTTTTATTTGGAAGCTGGTTTCTCATGTATTTCCATATAAATTTGATCAAGATCCCACCAGTAGTTTTTTGAGTTATCCTTAATAATGCTTACTTAATTGAAAAAAAAAATTTACCACTTTTTTGTAAAATAAGTTAGTAATATATTTTGACTATAACATTGCCAAACGTAATGATAAATTTTGGGGGTATTTTAGTCACTTCTTTCAGCAGGGTTACTCTATCGATAGAGTTAAAAGCATTCTTTAGTAAAATTTCTTATTAAAACATTTTTATATATGTAATATCATCATCACCACCATCAATACAGTCTTACAAGTCCACAGTTTTATTTAAAAGCTGGCTGGCTTCTCATGTGGTTCCATATAAATTTGATCAAGATCTGACCACTATTTTTTGAGTTATCCTTAATAATGCGTATTTTTGTAAAACAAGTTCGTGCTACAACTATACTACTAATATAGCTGCAGCTATATTAGTAGTATAGTTGTAGCACGAATGGGTCGGCTCGACCGGGGAAGGACTACGCTCTCACAGAAAACCAGCGTAAAATAGCAGCTTAACGCTGCTGTGTTTCGTATGGTGAGTGTAGAGAACCGGAGACCCTTTTTACTGGCAAAGAGGCATTCAATCTTATTCCTCAAGGGTGACAACGCATCTGCATCTTGATTCTTTATTGAGGATAGATGTAGATGTCTATGGGCCACAGTAACCACTTACCATCAGGAGGACTGTGTGCTCATTTGTCACCCTTATTCTATAAAAAATATATATATATTTTGAATGTAAGATTGCTAAATGTAATGATAAATGTCGGGGTTATTTTAGCTTCTTATTTCAGCAGGGCTACCCTATCAATAGAGTTAAAAGTTCGTAAAGTTTTTTCATAAAACATTTTTATACATGTAATATCATCATAATCAACATTATCACTGTCACACAAGTCCACAGCTGAACACGGCTCTACTAAGCCACCTATATTAATCGATTTTCTGCATGTCTTATTTCTCATCTCTAGGGAGGCCGCCCTTCACTTTGTTTACCGTTACCAGGCTGCCACTCGAGAAGCTTTCTTCCCCATCGGTTATCGGGTCTTTGAGCTATAAGAGCTAACTTATTGATACATTAGGCTACGACTATACTATAAGGACTATAAATATATCTTCTCCCGATATCGTACCAAGAACGCTGGCTGCATAACGGCATGATTATGAAGATGATGCTCATTCGACATCATGTATATGTCACATTATATGTTTACGTATTTTACATGTCAGAATATATCAATATGCTAGTTCAAAGGTGGAGAATAGTATCAAAGATGCGTCCAAAACCTACCCAGGTTTCTTTTCGGGGACTTCAGAACACCGCCTCGTGTATATATGTAGGTTCTCAAAAAGCACTTACCATAACGACATATCTTCCTGTTTCCACCACTCTCCTTAATTCCAGCGCAAATAGCGCAGCATATGGTGGTATGCCCTGTCTTGGTATTGCCTTGGATATCGCCGCGAACGCATAAACGTTGTTGTCGTGTGCGGAGTAGATTCTCACTTTATGAATGGGCTCTCCAGCAGCTGCTGATGCGGATACTTCAAAGAATTCCCGTAAGAGTAAACCTGTAGATTTCAATATCTGTTAATGTTTTTTTTAATGTGTGTAATGTATTAAAGAAATTGTATATGTATCTGAGCCATATTCATAGTCTTATTTTTTTCTAAATCCTATTTCTTCTTCTCTATGAATATTATATTCTTTTCAGGTAATTATACAAAGAGCTACTTTTGAGAGCACAGGTATAAGTGTAATAGGCCTATAGTTAGACATATTCTCCCTATCATTCTTATTGTACAGTACAGTGGTTTGACAATTTTAGGTTTTAATCTTTCGGAAATATACAATTACAAATACATAAACTGAAAATATAACTAAGTAACGGAACAATTGCATCGGATACGTATATCAAAACTCTTGTACAAACATCACAACCTGTATAGTTTGTCTTTTTAAAAGACTTTATAGCTCTATCTATATCAAATGATGTTATGGGTGGTATAAATATTGAATTGGGATTATTGAAAGTCAACTTTTATGGTTTCTCACTATTTGAGTGGCTTTTTTAAATTTGGTTTTTATAGAAATTATTAAAAGGTCCTACGAGTAGCTGTAACCAACGGACCCTAAGGTATATTACCATCAACAATAATGTTACTAATTGCTTCTTCCTTTGTGCAATTTTTCCACCGACATCAAAAAGGAGAAGGTACTCAATTCGACTGTATGTTTTTTTATGTTTGTTTCCTCATTTTTTTCTGGGTGAACGGATTTCGATGATTCTTGTTTTTTTTTGAAAGCTGGTGCTTTTCACGTGATTTCATATAAATTTGATCAAGGTCTGACGAATAGTTTTTGAGTTATTCTCAATAATTTATATTGAAGTCGTATATATTTATTTTGTAGAAAATTCTTTTGTTGTACAAAAGTTGTACAAAATTTTAAATTTAATTTTTTTTAGTTATTGTATTTATTTATCATTTGCCAGGTAGCTTTAGATTTATTTTTGAGCTGTGTTTATATTTTGCGACTTTTGGGTAAGTTTGATAAATTTGTTTACACGTTGGAAATACTCTTATAATATAGCTTTAATTTCTACGTTGGCTTTTTCAAATTTCAAAATCTATATGGATTGCAACAGATCATTGATATGCAGAAGGAAAAGTGTAGGTGATAGCACGCCTTCTTGTGGAACACCAGCCTTGATAGGCTTGTAATTGGAGCACACACCATCTACATCAACACAATTGCCCAATTTTGAAGCTTCGAAAGAAACGCCAAACCCGATCGAAGGCCTTTGCTATGTTCAAAGTCCAAACTAACGGCCAAATCCTCCCCCTTGGGCTCTACTGCCTCTGCCCATCTATAAGTAGACCAGAAGATCACCAGCTGATCAACCCCGACAAAAACCGTTTTGGCGGTCTATGATCAGCTGCTGATATTCAAGGTACCTCATGAGCTAGCAGTTCATAATGGATTCCATTATTTTTAAGAAAAAGGGGTCGGGTGGACCAAAACGGTCTTCCATGAAGTCGAAACTACGCCTTTGGAGTAAGAGTACCAGAAGAGACGCGTTAGCACAGGAGTACACGTATTCTCTAGAAGTCTTTTCGGAGGGACTCTATTAGGCCAACTCGACTTGTTGACGTCTAGGGAGAGGTGTGCTTTGCGAACCGAGCGTTATGTGAACCGCTTTTTCGATATGGAGCATTCACATCACGGGATGGTCGGTGGTTTGCTTTCCCTGTCATCAAGAGTCGAATTGGAAGAAGTTACATTGAACAGCCTTGGCGAGAGATCAGAATGCACTGGTTTCCGAATGAAGGCGAACTAGTCTCTCGCTATTCTGCCGATTTGTTTTGACTGTAGCAGCCAGGCTAATCAACCCTAAACGGTAATAAATAATGTATACCCTGCTACTACTATAACACAGAAAGCAAAGGTCTGAAGAAAACATTTATTTCCTAAATACCCCCGGCTACTGATATACTGCGGGCTGCATATCGATGTGAGATAATTTGACATAACGTCCTAATATAGAAACAAGAAGCAGCCGCAAATATCATCAGCGCCGCATCGTCTTCACACGCCGGCTATCTTCACGCATCCGTCGACCATCTTCGAGCCGTTTCTTCAACGCTGCAGCTTCGTTTCTTCTTGCTGTTCCGGAGATGTGTTCCTCGCCGCCTCCGCTCGCCGAGTGCGCGCGCGCGTTATCCTAACACCCTAAGTGTACCCACTAAACACAGCCTGTGGGGATTGGCAGTGGCCTTTGAGGCCTCTCTGCCAAATTGGAAGCGACCCTCTTTTGGGAAAAGAGGGCGCAGAAGCACACGCGCGCCGGTCTGCGTCACTTTTATAACCCCGTCCAGCAACGCAGTTACGAGAAGCTATCCACGAGTCTGCTAAATCTTACGCCGGTAAATGGAGGGCGACATATAATAGTTATACATAATATTTTATTGATTAATCTTTATTGGACAAAATGTATGTATTGTAATTGGCTAAGTAAATAAAAATTATTACTAATGGTAAGTTCAGAATGTAGACGGGCGTATAAATATAGGCAGGGTTGACTAAATAATACACACCATTCGCCTGCACATAGTAAGGCATATTAGGAAATGGTTTAATTTCTCCGCCGCTAAACCACTCGGAGTCTGTTAATGGTGGACCCTATATCTGCACTATTACATGCCTTTGCCTTGGCAATGACTTTTTTTACGAAATTGGTTAATTGGAATCTGGAGGCGAAATTATACTTCTGTTTGAGAGCGCTGGTGTTTACATCTCGGGACGTTGATGCGTCAGCTCTGGCCCGGTAGTACTCCTGCTTATAGCGTTATGAAATTTTACTGGAATGACCAAACTATGACTGGCATCTGCCACCGATGGGCACCACAGAAGAGTTCCATACCCTGATGTACCACATCAACGACAGAATAAGCATCAACGTTGGGATCCTCTGGCGAGAAGCAAACCCATAATCCCATATCCCAAAAGCTCATATCCTATCCCAATCGGCCAAACTATTGTACCAAACACGGCGGCAGCCGGCAGCCGGCAGAATGCAACCGAGATGTTAGCGTGAGTAACGTCACACTCTGGACTAGACAATGGTCCGAAGAGCCAAGAAGGGCGTCAACGGAGACTTAATATCCGTCTGGATGAAAGGTCAGCAAATGATCCAACAGGAGGTAACCAATTGTGTCAAACCATATGCCAAGGCAAAGTTATAGATAATGCTGCACACGTACTGTTTCATTTCCCTCTATCGCCAGTTACGGTATCTATGTGATAATTTGGGGTAGTGTATTCATTTACATTGCCACTTTTTATGTATTATAGATTTCAAACAGTGTACCATACAGTCTGTTATTACACTAGTTCGATATACCCTACACTTAATAATGTCTTATATTTATGTGAACACTACACATTGAATAAAACCAAATTTATGGATTTTATCGTGTTTAATTTTACTTCTGCAAGACTTCCAAACACAGTAAGCTTATTTTGTGCAGATTGGACCAAAAGTAATAATTAAAAACTAAAGGTACTGAGAGTTAGCTTGTAGCGCCCTGTAGCCTCCCCGTCACCTCCGACAAAATATTATATTATGATATTATTATTAAGTGTAGAATAAGAGAACAGTATGATTGAAGTCTTGAACTGAGCAACACGTGTCCTTTTCATTAGACATCTTCAGATTTCACAGCTTTGGCAACTGGACATCAATCACCTCAGTCCCGTGACCATGGTTGCTGCAAAGCATTCGAAACGTCGGGAATTAGAGTAAAATTAAACGCCATAAAATCCGTATACGAGTAAATTGTTTTATTCACACTTCTTTCAGACAGCAGCAAAAGCACTGCTGTTTTGTAATAGAAATACGTAGGATGGTTTATACCCTGATGACCCTGAACTCCTGGGCAGAAAAGGAGTACTAACACTTATGGCTTGCCCTGTACGGTGAGCAACCACGACTCCACTATTATTTCTTATTTTAGATTCAAACCCAAGGCTAAAATGTTAGTTAGGGCTTATCTTTACATCCAAAACCAAAATGTTTTCTGACCAATACGTATATGATAAAAACCCAACTAGACGTAGCTCAATGGATTAGCAAGCTGAAATGGCAATGGGTTGGCCATATAGTTCCAAGAACCAATGGGGAAGAAAATCTGGAGTGGTAGCCTCGTATCGTTAGTTGAAGTGTAGGCAACCCCACACTAGATAGAGTAACGCCCTGGTAAGGCATGTAGTAAGTCGATGAATGCAGGTGGGTCAGGACCGTGCATTGTGGCATTCCTTGGGTAAAGCTGATGCAGTGGACTTGTGAAGGGCTGTAATGATGATGATGGTGACGATTCTGACCACTCGGGACTACGTAGCGTCATCGTCGTATTAAGTTTCGTTCACTTACCAGCTTGTAATGGCAGCATGGTATCGTTACCAAATAATAAATCAAACGCTTTGTCAGCCGCCTCCTTTATATCCGGCATCATTTTCTGTATTGATGGTGTTGGAAGAAGGCCAATATTAACCTGAAATATTATTGCTACATTTAATAAATTTTACTTTATAATAAAACTGAAAATACACATAAAATTTCACCTCTGTCACCCAGAGGGGTAGGCAGAGACTATGGACTTCGACTTCGACCATTGCCGCGGTTTTCTCATCTTCACTTGTTTCAAATTCTACTTATTTATTAAATAACAGATACTGTGTACCGTTCCGAAGGATACAGAGCCAGTATAATTACAGGCTGTGAGACATGTCATTTTAGTCCTCGTGAATGCCAAGTATGATGTTATCTATGTTTGTACGTGGTAGAGCCATGCTGCAGCTATGTTATGCATGTATGTATTGTGGATGTAGCACGAATGGATCAGCTCGACCAGGGAAATACAAAGCTCTCACAGAATATCATCGCGAAATAGTAGCTTGATGCTGCCGTGTTTCGTATGGTGAGTGGAACCGGGACTCTATTTACTGGAAACGAGATATTCCACCTTAGTCCTGAGGTGTGATTACGCAGCTGCATTTTGATTCCTAATCGAATATATATGTCCGCAACTAAAGCATCTCCAAAAAATAAGTATCAGTTTACCGTCAGGGGGACTGTGTTCTCGTTTTACACCTTTATTCTTTAAATAGAATATCTATTTAGATGTTAAGCGACACCGCGCTGCAATATTGAGATAAATAGATTATGAGTTCAGTTTGTTAATCATAATTTTTACCTGACTAACGAGCAAGTCATATGCGGAGAATATTTTCACTGGATTACGTTTTATGATATCATGTTTCAGCGCCGAGGAAAGTTGATCTAGCACGTGACTATATTTGGCAATTTCAGGTACATAAGTTTTAGTTGCTTGTTTATCATAATGCTCCTGGAAGCTTGGGCAGTTAAAGCCCATGACCTAGAAAATATGTTTATGAAAATATATCATTAAAGAAGTAAAACCACTTACTAAGGGGCATTGAACTCCTGTTGAATTATTAAAATGCATCATGGGATAGTTTGACCATGTAGTGGCAGTGTAAAAGGAGATTAGTAATAACGTATTTATTAAAAAAAATACTTCGGTTGCCAACCCGCCAGCAAAACGGCAACGATGACAAATATCTCCCCTATAAGGCAATCTATGGTGATGCATATGTTCAGCACTTGACTTTTTCTGCTTACTAATCCGTGAGGCTATATCGGTTAATTTGGTTCTACTGCGGGTATCCTTGTTTTTAAGTTTATGCTGTGAAATAATGGCTGCAGTATAAATGCGTAAGCTTGACTGGGAAATACCACACTCACGCAGAATACCAGTGTAAAATTCCAGCATAGTGCTCATTGATTTAAATAATAATATAACGTAGTAACATATGAGACAATAATAGTGCTGCTGTGTTTTAAATAGTGAGCGACAAGAAAGGCGGCCCTTTTTACTGGCAACGAGGCATTTTATCTGTATTCTCAAGTTTGATAACACATTCTGCATTTTTAAAGTGAAAGCTTCTTTGCCGACGTCGAGGAGAAATTTTGAATGGCATTAAAAATCAAAAACATTACGTTTTCTTGTAACGTTTCACCGCCGGGGCGGTACGATTGTACTATTATTTCACCTACTTATGTAAAATACATAATAAAAGAAGAGATATGTCGTAAAGAAGTTTCACTTCGTACGTGTGCACACAAATACACGCAATGAGTGAGAAGAAAGTGTTCGCAAGGGTCATTTGATGATGTAGGATGTCTTTAGAGCACAGCATCTGCTTACAGTCCTACTAACATATAACAAAGATTAGAATTATATCACACTAGTTGTCAACAAGTAATTATATACTTCAATAAGTTGTTAATTGAAATCCTTCTTAACATGAGTGTCGTTATTTTACTATTTTTTAATTATAAATATGAAATGATGAAGGAACTTGCAGTCAACCTGACGGTAAGTTTCTATTGCCTGTCCCTGGACACCTGAAACCTACTTCAAGCGAAGAAAGTTAGAGATGCGTTTTCACCTCTGAGAACTTTGATGATGAATCGTGAAAGTCCACTACTGAACGTAACCTTCCCTCATAAATTTCGTCTTAGGTAGGATTTCATCATAGTTGCAAGATCATCAATGAAACATATGATTGCATACTAATGTATGGTCATCGGTATTTTTCAAAACATTATCACTTGTAGTCTGGTGATTAATTAGAGTGAAAGCTCACAGAATACACAGAGTAAAACGTAACGAATCTGTGTTTATAGTAGCCGAGAAAAAATGTCATGGTCCACAGCATCCTACATGTTAATTACTATTCGTAACTTACGAAGTCATAACGCAATGGTATGGTGGTGTACGGTACTGGAACCCAGTTGATATCTTCACTCCAGCCACGTCCATCAGGGCGATATACAGCTGCCATTGCCACTAGCACCGTCATCTTAGCGCGCACAGAGTCGGTAGACCGGATGTAGATTTCTGAGTGGTTATATTTTGACGAAAGGTAGTCGCTATATCTACTTCGAATGAATTTTCCCAGTTCATACGCTCGACGTTTTCCAAGCTAAAAGGCAATTTTTAAGTAAAATAGCAAAGTGCAGTTACAACCAAATACATCCCACTCCTGGGCACATGCTTCCTCTTAGTTTTTAGGGGATTTTAGGTTAAGGAAATGTCCGCCACGCTGCCCCAGTGCGTGTTGGTGGACTTCATATGTCTGTGAATAGTTTTTTCAATTCCTCAGTCATACATCATCACGATGTTTTCTTTACCGCCAAGCACATGATGAAGCACACAAATTTACTTCTGAAATATTTTATTCTATAAAAAGGGGTTAACTAATTAAGAAAAAGCGTTTTCCTTACATGCATGCTTGTACGTGGTAGAGTCATGCTGCAGCTATATTAGTAGTATAGCTATAGCACGAATGGGTCGGCTCGACCGGTGAAGGACCACGCTCTCTCCAAATACCAACGTAAAATAGCAGCTTAACACTGCTATGTTTCGTATGGTGAGTGTAGAGAATCGGATACCCTATTTACTGGAAAAGAAGTATTCCATCTTAGTCCTTACGGGTGACAACGCATCTACATTATGATTCGCAAACGACGATAAATGTAGATGTCTATGGGCCACAGCGATCACTTACCATGAAGTGGAATGTGTGCTCGTTGTCTCCCTATCCTATAAAAAACCTGCGGTTATGAACGCCATCTATAATAATAATAATAATACTATATTACGGGCGTATTTTAGGGCGAAAGGGGGAGAAGTTAAAGGTTTTGCGTACCGGGCTATGACGCATTGCTTTTTTGCTGAGCTGGAGCCATCTATTACCGTCACCGAGCAAAACCTGGCAGAACGACCGTGCGCTCAAAAATATTTGATGACGCCGAACTCGAACGGCTACGATGTGAGGCTATTCACTCATAGAATGAACCGACTACGACCGGGGAGGCGGCTCCGCAAGCTATTACTGTGGATGCTGGCGTAGATCCCTCGGTTGTGGTTGACTCGGACGAGGACGGAATAATCGCCCAGGAACAAGAGCAAATGAGGATCATATTGGAGGCGATTACAGAAACGCGTAGTACGCCTCTCGAGAATCAACCGCGACTTCCTTACATACCCCTAAGCAAGGCTGTCGTGGGGGCTCTAAACCCAATGCTGGTGACTCGATTTTATTTGGCGTCACATTGGCAGTATGCCATATTATTGGTGCCAAGCTCCGCACGGCTAGGCGTGCTACTATACAAAGTAGCGCCATTCTAGCCAGGAGAAAAATAATTGAAGACCGTATCGCAAAGGCAAGAGCCCTCATCAGCAGACTGATAAGCTTCAGGTATGGCAATAACAGGCCAAAAATTGTGCGCTACGTTCGTTTGGCGTTTGCTGGGACAAATATCAGTTTGTCCCAGCAAACGCCATCAGAAGGATATTACGCAAAAACTGACGGAGCGCATAGATGACCTGAAGCAGAAAATCACTGCTTGATTTACCGAGATGTCGACACAGTTCAACTAGAATCGTTTTTCCCAGAGGGATCAAAAGAGGCTCTATAAGTCTTTAGAGAGACCAATGGTACGTGGCCTATGGTCAGTGCCCGTAAATCACAGCGAGTGCCCTTAGAAGGAAGTTGTGGCGAACCAGTGTGCGAATGTTACGCCCATGGACCCCGTAATCATAATGCCGGACGACATAGCTGAGGCATTCCGTAGGGCCCCGAACTGGAAAAGTCCGGGAATCGACGGACTGCATCGCTACTGGCTGAAGGGGTTTGTGGTGTAACACTCTGTGCTCGCCCGATAGTTTCAAGAGGCTCTTGACTAGAAGGCGCTCTTGAGCCTCTTCACTACTGGGATCACTTATTTGGTTCCTAAAGACCATATGATACCATAGACCTGAGCAAATATCGCCCCATCACGTGTCTACCCATCATATACAAGACACTAACATCTATTTTGAGTGCGAGAATCTCTCGTCACTTGAAATCAAATCAGGCGATGTCGCGCACTCACAATGGATGTCGGGGCGGTGGTCGTGGAACCAAGGAACCACTCCTCATTGACGCGGTCATTGGTAAGGTAGTTAAACGCAACCGTTGGAACTTCTTCGCCCACTGGATAGTCTATAGTAAGGCATTCGACTCGTTGCCTCATACATGGCTGTACAAGGTTGACTGTACAGTTAGAGACTGCTTCGGGCAGTGTAAGTAGCAGTGAAATACGATCCTTTGTGATCTAGGTGAGCGGATGATGGCTACGGAGAACCACATAAGGATAAGAAGGGGTATCTTCCAGGGCGATTGTTTGTGTTCAATCTGATTTTACCCTCATTAATTACTCCAGTACCTTACTGGAAGGCTCCGGGAGGAGATATCGGCTTCGGAAAAGAGGTACAAAAGTGATCCTTTTCTATATGGATGATCTCAAAATTATTCGCCCCAAGTCACTCCATCTTATGGAATTGCTAAACATCACTTGTGATTTTAGCAATTCTATTAGAATGGAGCTGGGCACGGATAAGTATGCGGTCCTCCATGTTGAGAGGGGTAGGGTTTTTAACTTTAAGGGCAGAGACTTATCTATGCCCATCAACATTAGGACCCTTTGCGAGGTTGAAACATATCGATACCTGGGTATGTCACAAACTATAGCGGACATGAAACAATCAGTTTGCGATCTGTTTTATGCACCATTGACCAAAGTGGTTAAAAACTTTTAGTCGGGCGTGAATAAGACACTTGTTGGGTCATACCTGTCCTCATGTATACCTTTGGCATACTCAGGTGGACTCAAAATTAACTTATCACCTTGGATAGAAAATGCCACATTACAATGACGTCCCAAAGGATGCACCATCTGAGATCGTCAGTAATGAATAGAATAGAATAGAATAATTTTTTATTCAATATAAATCACATGTGTAATTCTTATTGAAAGTCATTTTTACTTTTACTTTATCACTGGTTCGAAAAAAAACCTCTATCCTGGGAAGAACCAGCAAGAAACCCAGCGGCACTTTTTATTAAAAGTTATTAATAAAATGCGAGTTTGGATATATGGGGGCCTCACTGAAGCTAGTGTCGAGAGTGATGCCAAGGACAACAGTGGATTCAACAGGGCTTAGTAAACGGAAATAAAACTTAATACATTTAGTTTTATTTCCGTTTCAATGTAGATTATTAACGTTAAACCAATACACTAATTTTGATATAGCATTATTCACTCCGTCACATTTAAGTGGTTGACGTTGAAGTTTAAAAATCAAGGAAGTATCATCAGCAAATAATACTATATTATGATTATCCCCTACAAAGGAAGGTAAGTCATTAATATACACTAGAAATATGATTGGGCCGAGAATTGAGCCCCGAGAGGACCCATTAGTACAGGTGTTCCGAAAGGAATGGCGGTCCACCACTGTGCGATTTAGAAGATGTTTTCTTCCTCGCACAACTTCCTTGTGGAATAGTTTACCACCAGCGATTTTTCCGGACCGATACGACTTAGGGACCTTCAAGAAAAGAGCCTACTCCTTTTTAAAAGGCCGGCAACGCATCTGCAATTCCCCTGGTGTTGCGGTTGTTCATGGGCGGCGTTAGTCACTTACCATCAGGTGAGCCGCATGCTCGTTTGCCCCCTCTCCTATAAAAAAAAGAACTTTTACCATTGATAATGACTTTCTGCGTTCTATTACTTAAATATGTAATAATAAGTTTAAGCGCTGTGTTCTTGACACCATGGTACTGTAGCTTCCTTATTAATGTCTCATGGTGAACACAGTCGAAGGAATTGGAAACATCACAAAATATACCCAAAACATCACAAAAAATATATTTAATAAGCTCAACTCCAGCGTCAATTGTCGAGCGACCCCTTCTAATACCGAATTGATATTTATAAGACAATTTAATAATATTTAAAAAAAAACATCTGATCTAAAATAATTTTTTTAAATTACTAAATGTTGGTAGTACAGTAATTCGTCTAAAATTGGCGGTATCTAATGTACTACCAGATTTAAATTAAGGTATGACTTTATTATGTTTGAAACATAATAAAGTCATACCTTTATTTAAATCTGTTGCGTATTAAATATGTGGCTAGATAAGGTGCTATTGTATTTATTATAGATAAAATAACTTTGATGGAAATACTCTTTAAGTCTGTCGTTTTCTTAACATATTTGGTTTTAAAATATTTAACGATATCTTTGGCAATACTCTATAGAATTTAAAAGTACTTGAACAAGCCTTTACATTTTGTCTAAGCAATGAGTAGGCAACACTGAGTACTTGCCGCGGAAGCATGGTGGGCGTGGCTTTTTGCGCGCCCACCATGCATAATCGCGAAGTGTGCAGCGTACGTAATTACTTCCTGGCGATATCGGATGATTCATTCTAAAAGGACGTAATTTCTTGTGATAAAGGGCTTACCCATATATCCTTAGTTAACAAGTAATTGCAAGATCCGCCCTTACAGAGCATTTACTACCGTGAGACCATATGGTCTTTCCATATGGAATGGAATATCCATATGAATTTCCATATGGAAAGAGAAGGAGCTTCATTCGTAGACACGATTGCTTTCCTCTACTGGCTATGGTTCGGTGACCTCTTTGGGGAAACTCAGGGTTTTGTCTGTACGATACAGAATTAGGTTATAAAACCAACAACTATCGGAGATACATCCTATACGATGGCGCCGTCAACATCTGTCGAGTTTGTTGCCATCATCATCATCATTACATTAGTAGATCCGTTATTGGCTGTAAGTTTATTTCTTAAGTTCATTTACATTGTAATTAGGGCTGTAGATCTTGTAATAAATAAATAAATAAATTACAGCCCTTCAAAAGTCCACCGCTGAACATAGGCCTCCCCAAGGAATGCGACAATGCACTGTCCTGAGTGACTTGCATTCATCGACTTTCTTCATG